AAAAACAGTGAGCTAAGTTAAATCAGCCTAAAAACAGTGAGCTAAGTTAAATCAGCCTAAAAACAGTGAGCTAAGTTAAATCAGCCTAAGGTGTTTCAGGCTCCTGGACAGAATCACATGCAGAGACGGTTCCAGATGAATCCATACAGGTTGCATTACATAGCGAACGCATCTGTGCTTCATAATTAATTGAGCTCTGGCCAAACTTATACGATATGTACATGTTTTTGGCTCGATGTGCAATTCAAATGAGGCTCATCTCCAGCTGTCGCCACGTCTAACTGCGCCAAAGCTTCAGCTTGATTGATATGACCTGTGCTGGTGCACAGACCTGCCAGTATCAGGTACACAGGCCAGAAAGCATTAAAGAATAATCTGTTTTTCGCCTGTGAAAGGGATCGCATGACTGTCACCTTGTTTGTAAAGCAGATGCCCACGAATGGGATGAAACTGCGGATGAGTTAATAAAACAAGACAAGCGGATGGTCCTTCTCGACAGGCCCTTCTGCTCTGTCACAGCCTGTAGCTGCACCTAAAGGTCAGGCAGAGAGTGATGTTAGCCCACTCTGTCCATGTGGATCCCATTTATGACTGACACACTTGATTACTGGGGACCCAGATGAACACAGACAGGCAATATATCCACAACAGTAATCTAAACACACACACACACCTACAGTAACTGAGGCGGAACTGACTGGGGACTGAAGCTGCACACGTTCCCAGGAAAGACAATCAGGAAGGTAAATTAAGACTCAAGCCACCAGCTATGGGAACCAATCAGATTCTTGTCTCTGTTATCAACGGGTGCTGTCATCATCAGTGGACCCATGTAAACCAAATGACACCCGCTGCACATGAATATATATCTAGTGACTTTTCGTCATATTGGGCCCTACCATCTAGATATAGCATTAGCCTAGCACAGTGTTTGTTTTGATCTGTTGCAGAAAACTAGGACGAACAGAGCCAGCTTATATAAAAAAAAAAAACTCAAGCTCAGGATCTGACAGGAGAACCACTAATGAGTGCTTGATTTCCCTCGTCAGGATCAGCAACACGCCATTCACCACAACAGGTTACGTGTTTCTGGACAGTGCTACATTATGACGGTGGGAGACGCTGTGATTCTACGGTGACGAGCACCACCAACAGTATGTCCCGCCATTCAAATTTCAGACTCCGCAGTTCATTAGTTCCTGGAAGGATGAGAATTATACACCGGAGACCCCAAAGAATGAGCCCTGGAGAAGTTCGATGATCATGGTTCACCTCCTCGTCAGAAGGGGGCTGCTGGAATCTATCATCATCATTCGATTTTTGCATTAGGAACTTAGCAGTCTCCTTTATTTCACCTTAACGAAACTCGATTAAACTCGATTACTTGATTATTAAAAAGCATCGATTAAAATCAGCCTTCTCGGTCACTCTGCAGTATGGCGGATAGAAGACGCCACATAGCGGATGAGGGACCAAACGAAGAGGGAGAGCATCATTTGTCTGGAAGCACTTCACGTTAAAAGTGAATGAAAATGCAGTCATCTGTCAAAAAGCAGAACTTAAATACCACCACAGCAGGACTGCAATGCAAATACATCTCGAAGAAGACTTTTGAGTTTGAAGGACCTCCGATAATGGGAGGTCAGGCATAGATATGCTCCCTTTAGCCTCACAGAGTAGCCTAGCCTGTCTTTGTCGCCACTTTGACTTAAATCATTTTGCTTAATTTACTTTCTACAATTCCTCTACATCGAAATAATTTTTGCTAAAACAAAGGTTACCCCATCGCTTAGGCACATCGTCTTACGTAATTCACATATGAACATATTGTGTTTTTTGAGTAGGGCTGGATACTGGAATTTTTTTTTGCAATATTTAGGAGATGAAAATTAAATATACAGCCAAAAAGAACTTATCTACCAATAGTATCTGTCAGATACGTCGGCCAGCAGACACAATCGTGCCAGCAGACACAAAGCAGTGCAGACAAATCATTCACTTTTGCTCAATATCATCTCCATCGAATTCGACATATATCTATACAGCAGAAGATGAATGTCTTTTCATGACCAGTTCTTGTTCTCTTTTCTCATCTTCCCTCATTTTTGTTTGATTTCTCCCAAAGGCGCCACGCAGTCTAACGGCTGGGACAGGAATGATAACCGCTGTCGCAGAGAGCGCATGCAGAGCTCATGCAAAGCAGTGGCGGTAAACTTTAAACTGATTTTATTAAAAAACATAAAATAGATAATGTTGAAAAGGAACCCATCATTGAAACTGCAAAGTTTGTTAAGTTTTGTTTCCTATGACTGAGTAAAAATATTTTAGCGCAACATATTGATGGTTTGAACCCAGCAAACCATCACAGTCCTTATTATATTATATTATATTTTGTACTATATAATATTTATATAAAATGATTACTTGATTAATCGTCAAAATACTTCTAATGTTCCAAGCATACTTCTAATACTCCCGAACAGCAACAGGGACCTGCTGCGTCGTTTGACTGACACAGATTAAACAGCCTTAGGCTACTGCTTTGCAAACGTGGCTGACAGGAAGGAAGAGATGCTTGAATATTTTTAAATGACAAAATAAATCACTTCTGAACATCCATCCATCTTCTAACCGTTGGGATTTCAGGGCGGCTGGGAAAACTAACCTCTAAATCAATAACCCTCTGACACGTAACCAGCACCCAACGAACACCTGACGGTTCTCTCAGTCCTGAACAGCTGATAAAATATTGACTGTGTGTGTGTACACACACATGACGTACATGGGAAGGTGTGGATATACACTGCTGTTTGTACTGGGGCCTTTACGTACAATAACGCTGAACATCTGGGCCCATAGCAAGACCCTCATGCAGACTCCCCTGCATCACGGTAAAGGAGGTGAGCTCATTAAGCATGTGTATCATGGCGTTCACATGGGTATGTTGTGTCTTGAGATTTAACACAAGCACTGGGAATCCCTTGCCTCAACTGGAGGAGTCAGGCATAAATCAGGCACGCTATACACAACAGAGTCTGAGGAAATGATATCTGGATATGAAGCCTCCCTGTTCACTAATGCACGCACATACACACACACACACACACACACACACACACAGGTTTGTAATTTTATCTTTGTGAGGACTCTCCATTCATTTCTATGGGGAAAACTCTAATCCCTAACCTTGACCATAAGTAAGCAAACAAAATATGAGATTTCTGGCATTTTTACTTTTTTGAAATGCAGTCACAGATCATTGTGGGGACCCACGAAATGGTCCCCACAACGTCAAAAAAAACAAAAAAACAGGGTATATTACATTGTGGGGGACATTTGGTCTTCACAAAGTAATAAAAACCTAATCCACACACACCCACGTGTCCTGTAAACATATCTTTATGGGGACCGCTCACTCACACACACACACACAACACAGAGTGAAAAACTTGAACGAGAAGACGTCATCAAAACTAGCAAAGAGACTAATCATTTGATATTGAAACATGCTTTAAAAAAAGGAAATCTAAGCAAGCAATAAGCATGTACAGTAATGGAAGGATGGGTTGAATCCAACACATGAGAAGAATAGGGATGAGATAAGAATAAAACTGCAGCTCAAGTTTAGTTTGAGGAGACGACGGGGTTCCGGAATGCGACAATGCGACAATGCGCAATTTAGCCGAACGACCTTTTCCAGTGATCTTCAATACGTACTGCCCCACAGTCCAAATTATTTACTTAAGAAGTAATCATGAGCATGTAGCCATCTATGAGGATAAACTTTGCACACCGTTTAAGACTTTGAATCTGCACAGAAACTAACTCAACTGAGAAAGGGTAACGGGTTTGATCTGCGCAAGTGGGGGTGTGTCTGTCCTTCTACAACTTGGTACCGAAGTGGAACCCGTTTAAATGGAACCAGAATATAAGCATTTAAATGAGGAAAGTAATGATGGCATTTTCGCTGTACTTCAGTTTAAGCTCACTTGTATAGTAATGCCATGTATGATAAGAGCTATTAGCTTTTGCTTAACAGCTGGTCTTTTAGACTTCTGCATGGATGTTTTTTTTCATGATATTAGCCATGCGGTTTATCACTGGCTATATGCATGCTCAATTATAATCGGATCCTTTATTCTAATCCAGAAGATGCAAAATCGACCAGCTATAAATACGGTTATCTCAGCTCAGGCAGAAATCAATTAGCCGCCCCCTTTGAGGGATCCCGCATCTCATCCGCGGGCTTGTTTTTCGGCGATGAGGAAAATCCCACATTTGTTGCTGGCTTAAGAGGGCTTCTCTTCAGCTGTCTCCGCCTCCCGTGGACAGACTGTCGCACACAGACCCAAACATCAAGCTGCAGTTTCCAGTAAGGGTGAAACCAAGTCGGCGTGCACACAGATTGCTGCAGAGATAAATGGTATACCAGACTCACCCCCTCCCCAAACCTGGGGGGGGCGGGGTCACACCTGACCCCCCCCACACTTCTTACAGAGCTGCTCCCGCGCCAAAGGGAGAGAAGTTGAGGTGACCCCTCTGGAAGCACAAGACAGGAAGACAACGCATCCTTAGTTGGAGTTCGACACAGAAAGACATGGAAACCAGCTGTAGGTCGTGGCACACAGCACAGGAACAGACAGTCATATACAGCAATGACAGCTCAGCTTATTATGGTTATATAACTGCACAGCCAGTGCAGTGTGGCTGCATGAGCTACTGCAGCATGCACTGGATGTCCCCGTTTTCCTATATCTGTGGGTTGCTGGGGACACGACGAGTGACGGTAGCAGAGGAGCAGCCAGCCAGTGGCTGTGAGCGGACCGGTTGCAGTGCAGCACCGTCATGCCACAGGCCTCCGTCCTACTGAAAGATTCATGGGGAAACTGAATAATGAATGAAACCTTCCCTTTAAAGCACAGGGGAAGTGAGCTATACAGTCGCGGTACCGTCGGACAGGATAGATTCGGCGTCTCTATCCCCGTGTCTCTATTGTCGAAGTGCTCCTTTGATCCATACGCCGTCGTCTCAAGTGGCGGTGAAGTGGAAACTGGGTAGGAGCTACACTGTAACTAGATCGGTATGGAAGTGGGCGGCGACGAAGGAATCATGGATAATGGAGGAACCAATAGGAGCGTTACAGAGATCTATAAAACACTGCTCCATTATTTCTACAAAGAGAAGGATTTTAAAAAATTATTTGGAGCCGCAATTCTGGGATGGGCTGTTCTGAGACACCTTTCCATGCAGGTCACACTGTTATGTGATGTTCATTCATTCATCATGTGGGTTAGTCAATGTAACATGACTGGGGTTAGTTAATCTAACATGATGGAGGTTAGTTAAACTGATAGCGCTTCCTCATCCATTAATGTAATGAGATTAAGGACTTATTAGCAAGACCTGGAAAAATAAAGCTGATATCACTATTGAGGAAATGTAACTGCCTGGCCTGTACCAGCCTGGTAAATGTAATATTGTTTCTTCCTGATTAGGAGGATCCAGTAAAACCCAGTGAGATGGGCAAGGTCATAAAGTTCGTCAGCGGAGGCAGTCCTGCGATCTCACACTGCCGTTGCCTTTTCCGGAAGCAGAGAGCCATGTCAAATCAAGTGGTGGCCATAAACTTAAGGCAAGAAGCATTTTGAAGCAGTTCCTGTTTCTGCCAAATGTAGGAGGCATAAAGTACCGCAGAATGAGAGCCACTAAACAGTGTGGTAAAAAAGGTTTGGTATGGGCAGCGGATTCCAGAAGGGTCTCCAAGAGGCAGGACGGGGTCCTCACCTGGCTGTGATGGCTGTCTCTGTGCCTGTGCAGGTTGGCCTTGCTGTGTGACTCCTCCAGGGCCCCTGAACAGACCACACAGACATGCAGGTTATCCTCCCTCTCTGAGGTCGTAGTCCAGGGTCACAGGGCTCCTCTCCTCCTCTTTCTTCCTGTCTTAAATTTCCCTCTTGCCTAGCCTCCGCTCCCCCTCCTTTTTCAAAGTGCTATAAAGCATGCCCGTGATTGCCATAGAAACATTCTTGCAAATTTAAGATCTGTGAACGTGCCTCTTGGCTGCTGGCTGTCAGTCTTGAAAGAGGACCAAGGACATGGCAGTGAAGGTTAATGGTAATTTTACACGCACACACACAATCCCTTAATCTGCCCACACCTCATCTCGGCACAGCGAGGCAGGGCTGCAGACAAAATGGGCCACTGAATATGAGACCACGGTGAGTTTGGTGATGCGGAGAATCGCCAGAGCTCGTACCGCTAGACAGCCGGTTGCCGTTCTCGATGGGAATGGGGGCAACGTGATTGTTTGCGTTCTTGTCCTGGAGCTGTGGGGAGGGTGGGGTCGTGTCCACATCATCTCTGTCTCGGTCCGGCTGGTTGATGTTGAAACCTAAAGAACACCAAAATATTGGCTTTAATGCTGTGGTGCCACATTTATTTAGCAGTGACTTTTATCCAAAGCAACACACTTTTCTTGTGAATGCAATCCCTGTAACAATCAAGAGTTAAGGGCCTTACTTGAGGACCCAAAAGCACAATGACTTTGCCAACCCTGGGACTTGAACCAGCAACCTTCTGATGACTAATGCAGCATCCAGACACACTGGGCTACATACTGCCATTTTTGCTCTGGCCATTTACTACTCCTTTGTCCTAGGCTTGATAGACTAATATGCCAGCATGGACAGGAGTACCATCCACATAACGGTAGATGTAACATCCTTCCATCTCACTATGCCACACAGCATAGGGATAGGGGCAGAAGGCAATTGTATGAAATGCCAGTGTGGATTTAACACAGTAAGAATATCATACAGAGCATTCAAAATCTCTGCATGCTGCATGTGCTGTTCTTGGATAAAAGGAAGGTGTGTATTACACCAAAAGCTGACAGGTTCTCTTCTCATATGGAGTCAGTGTCAAGCCTGTTTACTGTGGTTGTGACTCATAGAGTCACAGATCAGAGCAATCACTTCTACTCAGAAAACACAAGGACAGCGGCCAGCCACTGTGAAGGGCCTCAGAATCTTGACAGCTTCATTTGTGCCCGCCCACCACAAAAGTACCATGTCGGTAGCTATTTGTCTGGCCCTCTTCTACTCTGTCTTGTAAGCTCTGGTGAAAAAAGCGTAAAATCAACCATGTAGCATCCATTTGGGGAAAGATACCAATAAGCGAAAAGGTGGTGCAAATGTGAGGTAATTCAGCCCTAATTACGTTTGCCTCCATAATCACTTAACAGGTAACTGCCCAAGAAGCCCTGAAGCAGATGACAATGCCTGAGCTCTCCAGAGACTGAGGTTAAAAGGAAGTTGCACAGCTATTTCCTGTTGCTACCCATCCCCTTCGGAAGTCAGAGATCAAATGCTCCACTTATAAACAGAGGGGAGGGGCGACCCCGGTGCCGTAGCCGGAGAACCAGGCCGCACTCCGAGCAGCCGGCATCTCATCCTCCGTCTCCCACTCATCCATTATTGATCCGGCGGAGGTAACATCCTTTAAGCTTCCAAACAGAGCGAGAGTGAAGAGCTGACAAATAAAATAACCCCCAGCGGGGTCAGGGGTGTCCTCGGTGTGGAATGGGAGACAGACTGACCCTGCACAGAACCCTGCACAGAACCCTGCACAGAACCCTGCACAGAACAGAACCCTGCACAGAACAGTAAAAGTGCATTTGACATACAGTTTCACAAACAATCACCTAAACTCCACCTCTGTCACCCTGCCCAAAAATCACGCTGTTAAAACATGGACTGAAGGCATCTGAAAATGAAGCGTAAATCACAGTGTTGAGGCCACAAAGGTACCCCACCTACACAGTGAAACAACACTGGAATGAATGACTGGGGTGTGGTCAGAACCACGTCGAGTCACATGACTAAATCACCATTCATGAAATAAACAAACAATTCCCTGAGCATAAGCAACGCAAGAATATTGATGGTATGGAGTAGTGCACACAGGACCAACGAGGTCCCAGTCCAACAGGGAGGGCATTCCATGTTGGACTTCCCAGTGTTCTGCTATGATACAGTACAAATACCAAAAGCAGACCAACCACAGAAAAAAAGTTCTCAATAAAGCAAACTTTGGCCTCTGGAAGGATTAAATAGAATCAAAAGCTGTTTTCTGGGTCAAACCCATTTGATTGTTGAAATGACTGGGTTTGGCTCATACTGAAGATCTGATGATATCTTTAGCCAAACCAAGACTGTGAAAGTGGCCAGACTTTGAAGTTTATATTTAAACATGACAGAATCCGTACGGTTTTCAGCAATCTCACAATGCGGAATGAGGCAGACATGGCTGTTACAATGGCTTTAATGACACTGACATTTACCGCAAATGTTTGCATTTGCCACTCGACAGTGATGAGTCTCTAGTCTCTTTATAGGGGACAAGACCGAAACGCGTATTAAAATGTGTTTCTAATGAGTGAATGAAAGAACAATGGCTGACAGCCGGGCTTGCTGATGGCGGAGCTCGTTGGACGGCTCCGACTTTAAAGTGAAAACAAACACAGAGCGAAACATGCTTTCCCGAATAAAAACTACAAAGGTAGGCTTGTGCAGCAGGTGACGGAATGTTCTGGACTGTGTGGTTCAGGGGGTGTGTGCAGGGGCGGGGTCACAGGGGCCTAGTTGAAAACTGATTGGCCCTTGGAGTGCCCCGTCCACTGTCACTCACTGATTCAGAACATACCATTGGTTAATGATGAGATTGATCTCTCTGTATGAATTATAAGCTGTCTTATGCCCGCCACATTAAAAAAGTCTTATAGGTGTGGTACAGGGCCTAAGGCTGCGTGTGTGTGTAGAGGAGGTTCACTGACCCAGCTCGCGGATCTTCTTGCCTGCAGCAGACTTGCGCAGCAGACTGCGGCCTGAGCTGAAGAGTGTGGTGAGCTCGTCCAGTGGGCTGCTTAGGGGTCTCACGCCCACGGGGTTGAACAGCAGTGGAGAGGATGAACAGGAGTGGGCCCGTCGTGGCTCTGGCCAGCCCGTCTTCACTGGGGAGTGGGGGGGTTTCCCGGAGCTGGGGGGGGCTTCGGCTGAGGGGTGTCCACTTTTGTGGGCGACCCGGAAGTGGTCAGGGGTTGCCACGGATGCAGCACGGGTCAGGTGTGGCCCGACTGTCTCGGGGGGGAAGGGGAAGTGGGAGGGGGTCCTATATGATGGCGTGAAAGGAGGTGGTGGGGGCGGGGGTGGAGTCAGCGGGGGCGTAGACTTGTCAGGCACGAAGACTGACAGGCTGGGGGTTGAATCAGCTCTCTGCCGGGGGTATTGGGGGGAGAGGGGGCCGCCTGCTTCACCCTGGCCCCCGTAACCAAGGCCTGGCTCCATCACCGGAAGTTTCTTCACCTCCAACGGCGTCAGGGGCGACTCGTCCGAGGCAGGCGAACAGGTGACCGGAGATGGTGGAAAAACCAACAGGGGGGGGCGATGGGGGAGCAGGTTAGGGAAGGGAGGGGGGATGTCGCAGGGGCCATCCTTGCCGGGTGGCCACCCCCCCGGACCAGGGGAGACGCAGAGTTCTGCTGACATCAGCCTTTTACCCTCTAGAGGATGGGGTGAGTTGGATCCTTCAGGCTTAACCAGCGGAGCCTCTGACTGAAGCGCTCCTTCCTCGGGCAGGAAGTACTTCATCTCCTCATAGACTGCCTCACCCTGCTCGGGGCTCTCCACCTCAACCAGGCTGGTGTTGCCAGGGTGGCCCACCATCTCCATGTAGACATCATCCTCCTGGGAACGGTAGAGGCTGAGGACGCTGCCGCGGGGCCCGTCAGCAGACGCCACTCGCTGGATGGGCCCGAGGCAGTGCCCCCCCCGGCAGGACAGCTTGACCTCCATGGGCCGGGTGGCAGAGATCTCCTCGTAGGAGCCTGTGAGCTTGGTGTAAGGGCTCCGTTTGGGTTTTGGGGGTGGGATCTTTTTCATGGTGCTGTAGTCATCACTGTGTGGCCGTGGCTTTGACAGAGCTACAGAGAGATGGAGAAAGACAACAGAAAATGTCAGACTTACTCAGACTGCAGCCTGTCTACATGGTTGAAAGGACGACCATGGAGACCCTGGGGGAAATGGTGACACCAGAGCAGAAGCTCTTGAAAAAGTAAGCAGGTAAACAGAAGCTTAGAGGTCAGTGGAGACCTCCAGCAGGACCGTACCATCAGCATCGGCGTCCTTCACTGCCATGGAAAGACAGGCGCTGACGGCTTCATAGGAGGCACTCAGGCGTGTGTTGGGATCCCTTTTCGGCTTGGGGGGAGGCTGTTTCCGTGGCGACGACAGACAACCCCCGACCCCTCCTTCTTCCGTGCCGGCTAGCAGCTGGGATGGGTGTTTTACCAACAGTCCGGTGGAAAGTACCAAGTCCGTGGTCAGGGGGGAGGACATGGAGCTGGAGCGGAAATGCCTGAGAGGACGGTCCGCCACACAGATGGTGCCATCTGCGGGCTTCCCGGCCTTTTCCGGGGCCCTGTTCAAATGAAACATCCACGTGCATCATTCAAAACAGAAACTATCGATGTGCTCGTGTCTCAACTCCATAGGAAACATTCAGCAAATGACTTAGAACCAAATCGTCAATGACGCAAACATCTTACTTAAAATATTAATCGTTTAATCAAAGTCACTCCTTGGATCTCCCTCAGATTTCACCTCATTCTCTTTATCTAGTACCCCCATTTGCTGTTATGGGTGTGGGGTCAAAGCAAAGATCTTCAGCAGCTGAAGAAAACTCTGATCTAACATCCAATCATGCCCCTCAGACCCTGACAGACTAATGACATGCTTATTACTGTTGCGCTGTGATTGACATCCCTCTCCTACACCCCAATCAGGGCCTTCCTATCCTGGGGGCAGAAAGAGCAGAGCTAGCAGATGTCCCACCTAGACGGGGGACGGGGTAGGGTTAAACTCTGTGGGTAATTCGTCTTTTCAGCCCAGCGTTTAATTACGTTCCCAAAAGCCGACCAGCTCACAGCTGTCCCGTCCGAAGCGCCGCTACCGCTAATTAACATGTTTTAAATAGACCAAACAATAAAAGGATGACATGCATTATCTGCAGCATGCAGATGAGGTGCCTCCTAGTTTAATCCCCGATGCGGGATAGAGGCACTGTCTCTCGCAAAGGCACAAACACGGGCTCTGTGTGTAAACACTGAGAAATAGGGACGGACCCAGGACTGCGCCAAGCGGCACGCCGATGGGCTCGGGACACACTTGTGGCTTTGTGATGTGGGGGGTAAGCAGAGGAAACACCCCAATGGAGGTACAGAGTGATGCTTTCACCAGGAGACACTGACATGGCAGAAAAAGCATCCTGAAAGCAGCGCACAGGAGCATGACAGCCCCGAGCTGCCCTAAGGTCATGACTGTTTCCCTGACACTCAAAGGTGCTGTGATCAGACAAACATCTCTAACCACATGTCCTAACCCTCCCAAAACAGGACATCTAGTCAATTATTGAGGAGATGAGCTGCATTGGCAGTAATAATGTACAAACACACTGCAGTCCTGCCGTGGGAAGTCTTTATTTTCCATTTGACATGCAGTGTTAGCCATACATGCACTGTGTTAATGCACAAAGCCTTAACTGGCTTACTGCAGCCCCAGGCAGTGAAACCTGCAAACATGCAGTCAGCTGTTGTTTCCTAGGGTTCAGGCTGAGGCCGAGCCCCTCCCCCATACAAACACACACCATGGGCTCCACCACTCCAGCCGCCCCCTCACTGCGGGTCTGCTCACCTCTTGGGTGGCTCCTCCTCCCTCCCCAGTGGCTCCGGCCTCTCAGGCAGGTGGGTGGAGCTAAGGTGTCCGCGCCGATGGTCACTGTGACGGGCAATATCAGAGGCGTTCTGGATGACCAGGCTGTGATAGGCTTGTAGGCCCAGGTCCTCGACACCCTGCAGGAAGTTCTCCACCTGGCCTATCTGGTGCTCCCGCTGCTGCTGCCGGGCTCGGACCATGAGTCGAAGATGCCTCCTGCCCAGCCAGCCCCGCACCACTGCAGCAAACACACATCGGATGTATAAGGTTGTTCCTGCCTTCATCCATCAGACCCTACAGTGGCATTCTGAGGCACTTTCACAGAACAGTTCTTCTGCTATACAACCCAATCTGAAATACGATTCATTTCATGTTTCCCTGACATTCTTTGCATAGTAACTGTTTATTGTTGTCTGTTATTTATTAGTTGTCTATTATTGTCTAAATGCCTGTGTACTGACTAACATTGTGTATTGTGTATCTATAAACACAGAGACCCCATAACACATGGACACATACTCACTCCTAAATACAAACATGCAAAAAAATGAATGCAATTAATACTGCAACACGTACTTTTTCCAGTGACATACCACTGGTGTGGAAATGATTTCCCCAAAACGGCCAAATCGTGTGACCTTGCATAAAATAACCATTTCAAAGGTGGCCGCACCTTTCTGACAGATGATGACCTTTCTGTTGAGCTGATGGCAGCGGTCATTGAGATGGTCTGCCTGCCAGTACCTCAGGAACACCTTGGTGTGACCCATCTGGAGGAGTCAGGCAGGGAGAGAGCAGTTCAAGCAAGGAGAACGACGGCAACATGTGAACACGCATGAACGCCGTGGTTATGGAGCACAAAGACCCCCATTCACTGCTTCGGGACTGACCTTGGAATCAATCTACTGTCTCAAAAATGTTCAAGCCAAAAAGACCAATTTATTATGTTTTAGCAAAATTGGGTAATATTGTTATTATCTATAATCCAAAAAAATTTTCTTCATTTTCTTTTGCACGGGGCATGTCAAAGAGGCTCGGCAAAGGCTTGCATTTCTGTAGTTTCTCCCCTCGTTCCCCTCGCTTTCCACCTTAATCTTGATTATCTCATTCACTCCGGCATACTGGCAGCAGATTAGTTGAAAGCCAAAGCCCGAATTATGCTACAGGACCTTTCAATTCTCAATAATCCTTTTGGAGAGGCTGGGGGGGGGAGGGAGTGCTTTGACAGAGGGGGAGTGGCTGTTGACCCAGCGGGGGATTAAGGGTCTAGAGTTGAGGAAAAGTTATCCTCACAGCGGGACTCTGATGTTCGAAACTGCTTTCCCTTCCACTGCCGGCTTCCCTGCTGGAGCTGTGACATATGGCTTGGAAGCTCTCCTTATTAGTGAAGCAGCTGCTATGTGTTCAGGCATCGGGCAGGCGGGCGAGTGGGGGGGGGGGAAGGGTCACTGATTTGGACTCTGATAGACATACAACTGCGGCAGGAGCTTGGGGGTGTCAGAAGGACCGGTAAAGCGTGCTTTCAGCACCGAAAGGAGCCTCTGTGTGTTAAAGGAGCTGTGTGACGTACGACCGCGAGCTTGAAATGAGTGATAAACATTGTGCAATTAGCGGCGAGGGCTGGGATGGCCTCTCGCAGCTCCGTTCAGCACGGAAACAAAGCAGGGGCCAATTGGCGCCGGCCAAACAGCCGGGGGCATTGGGGGGGGGGGATCCCTGCAAGGGAAAGGACCCCAACAGGCTGTCGCCACTTCACTCCCTACGACACGACAAGCCTTCCTGTTTGGTAAGATAACGCCGAGAGCTGGTTATCGCCAAGTGGCAACCCGCAAGAAGACTACGCCTGACAGCGAGAGGACACCCCCGCTGATGTGCCTTTTCTCATCGGGGGATTACAGCTCTTTAACATTTTAATCAAGGCTACTCCCCCAATTGTCCTAGTTGGTTCTGTCCAAGCATATAATTAGCAGTAAGAGATGCAGAGCAGTACGTCCTGTGCCAAATACAAACACTCCAGAGAGACCTACATCCCCAAACACAGACGCATCAGCAAGACCTGCATCCCGTATCAAGTTCTGTCCAACTTCCTGGCAATGACAACACCGCTGCCATGGATGGTGAGAGCGGCAGGCAAGTCAAGCTTGATGTGTGTCTTCCTGACATAACCAGAGGGCTGTGCATGTGACCCCAGCTGTTAACGGTACAGGCACTGGACAAGTACACGTACAAGCGTCCAGATTTCTGTGCACTTCTATGACTATGAGAAACAGAATTACTGTGTAGCAGAAGGTCTGTTCCCCCAAATAATCTTTCATGAGGCCAGAGGGCTTATTGGTCAGGTGCACAAGGATAAAAAATCCCTCGATGTCACGAGGTGAAATCACCAAATCCGCGGGGAGATAAAATTGCTAGAGTGAACCATGCAACCCTGCGCCAACCCTACATTCAGCTGACCCTCTGACATAGTCCTTGAGCTTCAGATACGAAGCACCACTAAATATCTTCAGAGGTGGGTAATTCAGGTCCAGAGAGTAAAAGTCCAGACCTAGATTTTGTTTCAACTAACCACTTCAGTTTAAAGAGTCATAGTCACAGAAGACTCAACTGATTGGTAGAAACAAAATCCCAGTCTGGACTTTTACTCTCTGGACCCGAATCACGCACCTCTGAATATCTATAGGGTTTGGAAGGGAGGGAGATACACATAAGTTCTCTTCTGCTGCCCTGTTAAGTCCTCAGTTTAAGTAGAAGACATCTCACATCCCGTGGTATGCTGCATTACCTGCAGATTAAGACTGCCAACTGAAATAGCCTCAAAGAGCCTTAAGAGAAAAGGTCAAGGGTCACTCGCCTGCCATCCCTGCAGCTTGCAGTGCTGCAGAATGTGGCGGCATTTGTCTTCGACGGACAGCTCCCCGTCTCCCAGGATAGCATCTGCCAGATCCTTGTATCTGTCAGGAAACAGGAAACAGGCTATTGATTAAAGAGCGTCATCGAGGCAGGCGTGCTGCAGTGCAAATAAAAAATGAGAACATTTGTGAAGGTGCACGTTTCGCCGTTTGCTCCCAGGTGAGCACTTCAGATTCAGACATCTGCACGCCAGGGGCCAAACGAATGTGGAGTGTATAACTGGCACGAGCAGTGAGTTCCAGGACTCTGGAGACTGTAAGCGACGGAGCAGCGGATGCCTTGTTATCTGTACTGCTGACACAACACGGCTCTGACACCGAACCCAAGACGCATACGATTTGGAACTCAAAGGTCAGAGAGTTACGGAAGCCTGTAAACACCCGCTCCTGTGGGTGTCAACTAAGGTCACTAAGCTCAGACACGTGAGCGGGGAGGAGGCTACAGGAAGAGCTGTCCTTCCTTAGCGCTTGCATATGCACTCTTCATACAAATGACCTCCGGAAATATCAATCGACGATGCATATTTCAAATATGCATGTCTGCATATGACGTGATGCATTTTCAGTCTCTATTCATTGGAACCCTGACCGCCATTCAAAGAAAATATATCATCGATGTCCAATGAAAACCATGTAAGCCCCCTTTTTGATGATTGTGACTATGGATGGAGTATGGCTACTCTCCTCTGTCTACTGATAATGTCTGACAAAATGTGTTTTATGAAGTCATTTAACTAGTTTTTATGTTTGTGCAAATTAACATTTCTATTCATGATGGCCGTTTGTATGGTTTATGTCAAAACGCTAATTTTAACAACTGTATAGTTAGCTACCTAACGTCATTATTAATTGATAATATAATACGAGATTAGTTTGTATTATATTACACTGACATATTTGCCTCACTGAAAACAATCCACATAAGTCCATTTAAAACATTAAACTGTACACTGACGGGTGTGCAAAGACGGAAAACTGGCGATACATATTTTTCATTGGATAGCGATGATATATTATATTGCACTGAATACCAAATGATTTCTTTGGGGACGCCGCACACTAGTGAAGGGCAGTGATTAGGAGCGCTGCTCTCCCAACCAATTTACTGGATTTTCTGATTTTACTGAATATTCTGGACCCTCTGTCACATGATGCCATCTTTGGGCAGTTTGACAGCAGTAGCGGAAAGCCAGCATCAGCCCGGAGAGAGGTTTGTGCTTTTAATGGTCAAAAAGAGTGCTTCTCTCTCCTCACTATGATAATGAAACGTGACTAAATCGCCACGTAGCCCCCAGGTGCTTATAAAACCAGATAAAACTGGCACTGAGTGTGAATATGTGAAGACCCATGAGGATCGGGCCACTTGGTCTTAATGAAGCGGGGGCGGGCAGGCGGCCCTGCTGGCGGTGGGGGGCGAGTAAAGGGCCGAGCCGAGGGCAGAGCCGTCCGCTTGCTTATCGTTAATAACCATCGGCTGTCCCGTTCCCGTGACACATCGTAGCGGCATAGCACTGTGGTTAGCGCGGAACATCACACAAAGCCTGCTCATTACAGCTCAGGACAAAAGACATGGTGTGTGTATGGGTAATTAAATTGCAATTACATAATTACAAATGCACAGTCGTGTAGAAACTGAGCTTAAAACATTGTCTTGCTTTGCTTTAATTAGCATGTCCTAATGAATGCTTCGTAGGTGCATGAACTCACCATGACGTTATTTTCTTTGTAACAAGAATATGAAGATCCTTCTGCAGAATGGTCACATCAACATATAAATAAACAATTATGGCATATAGAGAATTAAACAAACAAAAAAAAACCTAGATGTGAGCAAAAGTAAATGATTCTGTTCTAACGTATGAAAGAATGAAGGCTTTGTTCTGTTACAACACGGGGAAGATTTATAAGGTTGCCATCTTCAGTACACCAAAGGTGTACAGCCACTCCATTTAAGGGCCGATCTCCCGCTGCTGTGTAAAGCGGACCACGCAGACCCCCCACACAAACCCCCACGCAACTCTGCATGCAACCCCCGCGCGTGACTCACGCCGGCTTCCCCAAACAGTACCTCTGGGACTCTCTCTTTTGCATTACACCACCCCCAGGAAAATAGGCTTTGTTTCACAACGAGGCTATTCATGCTAAAGTAAACAGGAGTAAATCCAGGCCAGAGCGAACCACAGGACCGAAAACGTTACCAGTCACGTGACCCATCAGACCCATTTCAGTCCCATTTCCAGCCATCTAAGCTGTTTGGTTTCCTAATAAATCCCCCCGTTTTAAACATCCTGTCTGCTGTGTGTCATTTCAAGGCAGGAGACTGGAGGTGGAAGGTGTCCGTATATATAGGGAGTAGTTAATGAACGAATGACTTGACACGCCACATCACAAAGTGGCGAGGACGGGTCTGTGCCTCCATCAGCGAGAGACAGCTGTTTCCGATTTCATCTCCCTCCCAGTTCCCAAAGCAAGGAATTTACGACAGCATCTTCAGTCACCGCCCCCAGGGTGTCTGCCTCCGCGACCAAGCCAGCACCCAATCAATCCCAGGACCAGCCATCAAGCCCTCGACTTGACTACAGATCTCTCCGGAATATATATGGCGACCATGAAAGGCGGTTACACCATACAGGCGTATGTGGCATGACTGGTGTTTCTGCGATTTGCAGAAGAGGCGATGATTCATGTCAGCCAGCCGGAGCTGAACGGAGAGCCTGAAGTCTGAGCCCACCGCGCGGCTCGGTGAGACATTAGCATGGCGGAATTTGGGCCACGCCGGGGAGATGAGCAAAGTTTACTTTTCACACCGTGGCCTCATTGTCGGCTGTCTTCATAATCTGTCTACATCGCCGTGTCCCAGCCTGCTCCTCGGGGACCCGTAGAAGGTCCATGTTTTTGTTCCGACCCATGCATGCAAAAACGTGGACTGTCTCTGCGTCCCCGAGGACCAGATTGGGAAACACTGGTCTAGATTGTTAACAAAAGAGCCCCCATCTATCAGATTAATTACTGCAGGGTGGGAGATGAGGTATGAGGAGAACAGAGAGGTGTGAAGACCCAGCCTGGTGAACTCAGATCCACCAGATGGGAATCGATGGGTATTCAGAAGAAGCCAGCCATACTTTCTCTGGGACATTTGGAGTCTTCTGCTCTCTTCCAGAAATGGGGGGAGAGCCATGGGGGGTGAGTTCCATTTACATTCATTTATTTATTTAGCAGATACCTTCATCCAGAGCGACACACAATCGCGAGAGCGGGGTCAGACAGTCCCCGGAGCAGCTGAATTTATAAAACTCACTCAGTCCATGGGATACATTGGAAAGGCTTTTTGTTGGATTACATGAGTGAGTTTTGCTTCCTGATACTGTAGCATATGAAGCGGAAGCTTGGCTTTAGGTCAAAGAGGCCTCACCTTAAAAACGACAATGGACTGAGCATGTCTGCAAATTTGCTCTTCAATTCAGGGTAAGGGCCTTACTCTAGAACACAATGGCAAAACCACTCTGCCAACCTAGGGATTCAAGCCAGCAACCTTCCGGTCAATGGGGTAGTATCCTAACCCGCCCAGCCACATATCACCCAGAAGAGGGTCCCTCACAGAAGCTGAGGTATGTCTTGGGTCGGTCCCCACGTTTTAGGTCATAGCGACCAGCCAGACAAGAAAAAGACATGTAATTCCTGACAGTTTCAGCACTGCCTCCATGACAGCAGTAGCTGGCAAGTCATGCAGGCGCGGAATGAACTGCAGTTCAGTTTGATATGTAGTCAGCCTGCAACAGGCTCTCACTCCATGTGTGCTTAAGCAGGACTGGCAGCAGTCGTTCTCACTGTACTTTCGGAATGTATGGATCTACGCCGTGGAATAATTTGGAGGTGGAGCTCACCGAGTCAGGAAGCTAGCGAAGGGCAACCGGACCGGGTATCCGTAGTGGATGGTTCGAACCATGTCCAGAACTCCCACGTATTGCAGCTGCGTAGATACATGGTGGCTGTCGAAGGAGTTGGGCTGCCTGGTGCCGTTGGGTCTGACACACTGAATAAAATGAGGCGTGGATCCCTGCAGTTTGCTGATAATCTCAGAGAGTGAGTTCTGAGGCAAAAGAAACAAAGCAAGCAAACAAACTATGGTGAAACATACACTTCTAAGCAAACTGCTTTCAGTGACAGTATATAAACAGCTGCCCCACCAGATATATAAAGAAACATGAGTTAAATAGAGTTCCTGCAGCACATCCAGGAAGGCACACAGATGGAGAACTTAAAAATGCAATAAAGATCTGACTGATGATGTCACTGTCATATTCTGACGATGTCACTGTCATATTCTGATGACGTCACTGTCATATTCTGATGATGTCACCATCTTAATCTGATGCCACCATCCCAATCAGAGCAGCCATTGGGACACAGTCACTGGGTCTATAGTGATAGACGTGTAATTAATTGTAGACATTTAGTCAATACTGCCGTGCTTACAGTACAGACTGCAAAGCTGAGTTATATTAGGAAAACGGGCATCAAACTTCAATAATCTTTGAAGGAAAATAATCAAAGACAATTAGTGACATCAGGTCAAGAAGTTGGTTAACTCCGTAAAGAAATACATGTTGTGGTTGAGTTTATTCATCGCTGTTTGTGCTTATTTATAAATGTATCCTGAGGATATTTATAGTCAGACAACTATACAAGTGGGTCTTGAAATTATGGACTTTCAGAAACCTTCCCACAGACAGGCCTGATCTGGCCTAATCTGGCTTGATCTGACCTAATCTGGCCTGATCTGGCCTAATCTGGCTCGATCTGGCTGCTGGTGGTCAGTGTGCTTTGGGTGAAGTCGCCTTGTGTCTGGGATGATACGGTCACACAGAGCAGGCCGATGTCCCACGAAACAAAGTCCCCACAGGAAGATCACGCATCACGTGAGACCCTCTGTCTCACTAATGCCCCGAGAACACAGAATTGCACGTGTCAAAATCGTGTTTATTACCCTGGCTGAAAATTAACCCCTTAATGAGAGCAAAGTATTGTGAAACCCCTCCCCCTGTTAGTGCTATTGTATGTGGCACTGTGGTCCTGGCGGAGCGTTATTTTGTGCTACTGTATACCTGTATATTAGATTAGATTAGATTGACTTTATTAAATTCTTTAGAAACAGCAGCAGTAATGAAAAAAGACAGTAAAGAGGGTATGGCAGGGGGTATGACAATAAAGCCCACTTCACGTGGCTTGAAACAGAAACAGCACCAACAAAAAACACTTCACATTAGTCGCTTGTCTGTTAGCCCCAGTTATCACAGTCTGGGAGGAATCTCAGAAAGAGGCTAAGGCGGACAGCCCCACGCCAATCAGACATGCTCTCACCCTGAGCTCGGCTGCCACGGTGACGGGCCCGCCCCTCTCAGACCGCTGCAAGAAGGAGAACGAGGTCCCTCCTTTTTTCTTTAAAAGCTGCACAGAGAAAAGAGAGAATTGTCAGTAATGGGCTTCACGTCCCACTCAGAATCAGAATCAAGTTTATTTGGGCAAGTATGTTCACACATACTGGGATTTTAGCTCCAGTTGTCAGTGGCTCACATGTATACAGTGAACACATACATAGTTAAGACAAGACAATGGTCACATACAATCCCATTGATATATACAATGTGGATGTCCATCCATCTATGCTTTCATTTTCTATTGTCCTACGCAGGGTTGTGGGGGTCCGGAGCCAATCTCAGAAACAATGGCTGCAAGGTGGGGAATAACCCAGGACGGGGCGCCAAGCCCAAAACTTGAACCCTGGTCTCCAGACCAGTGCTAACCACTGGCACACAAAGGGGACGTGTTGTTCATAAATGTATAAAAAGTGCTGGAGAGCCTGTCAGTGCAAGGCCTGCTGGAATAAATACAATGAGTACAGTGGTGAAGGGATTCACTGGAACTCTGCACTGGCTTCACAGGAAGACCTTCACAGGAAGACTCTGTAACGTAGGGGCCATCGATGCACACGCCCACAGAGGGATCCACGTGCCAGGAGTGGCGACAGGCCGCAAATGTGCTCTGCAGCTGGCGGTATTTCAGCTGTAATTGCAACAAGGGCCTTGACAGATACGACTGATAGCTGTAGATAAGATAAGCTGAATGTTTGGCCATGAAATTCATCAGAAGCCGGATCGAGCTCGCGCATGGAATCCTGTAGTGCTCACGCAGCGACCCGACACGGTGTTCTGTCATGTCAAACAACCGCCTACTGTGCCGCAAACATTTCATCATATGAAATGGTAGAAAATGTGACTGTATGTGACGGGGCTGTAACCATTTGACCCAGCTGTTAAACAAGCCCCCATAGCATCCCCCCCCCCCCACAGTCCCCGAAACTCCTACTGCAAGACACAGCACCTTACTGACTTCCGGATACTTCTTTGGTTCCCAGGCTGGGCAGGACGGTGTCACCCTTTGGAGAAGCAGGGCAGATTTGGGTCCCAGCGCCTTCAGACGCTGCTGCGGCGGTACCAGCGACCCCGTCTGCGTCACTTTGCTCTGGAATGCTTGATGGATGACCACGTTCTCGCTGGCTGTGTGGGGGAAAGGGGTTTGGGGGGGTAGGAGGAAGAGGGACGCATTTACAGGGATAAACAATCGGTCCAGATAGTGGGCGGTGCTGGGCCCGGCTCACAATGGCTTCATTGAGGAACGGAGGCCTGCCTGAATCACAGGACCTGAAAGCAGCCTCTCTACAGGCCGGTAATTGACGCACAAATAAGGGGCACTAGTGTGGATGCCGATGAATTGGCTGGCATAACGAAAACAAACGCAGGCCTCGGCGCTCATTAAACCCAGCACTGGGAGTGATTGTCCCACCAGAAGTGGTTGGGCGAAGTGTTTAAACACCTCTTAATGTGACCATTCACCTGGAAAAAAGAAGCATTGTGTATTTGGGGGGTGTGGATGGAGTGTAGATTGATCAGGGCTGGGGAGTTTGGCGTCCTGGACTCTCAGATACTTTGCTGGAGCTTCGACACAATGAGTCACAAATCTGGCCCAAATCTACAAGGTTGCCTCACTGCTACGTTAATGCTTCGGAACAACCCTGGGCTAAGATCTGGGAATGAACAGACCTGCACTTTCAATATTCTACCCACCGCCCCAAAGCTCACCGGAGCAGCAGAGGTTCACGTGAAGACCACGACACAGTACGTCGTTTCTGAAGATTTATGTAAGTTTCTTTGCATATAAAACTTTTGCATTTAATCAAGTACCTAGACTCCCTGATCCCTGAGAGATTCACACTAAATTAACAAAACTGCGTAACAACACAGGGGGTGTTATTAATGCGATGATCAGACCGTGTTCATCTCGACTCAAACTGAGCATAACATCAAGCACGGAAAGATCAAAGGGGTACTCTCTCTAGCCAGTCAAACCTGGCTTTTTCAAAAATACTCACAAAATAAAGTATCTGAAACAAACTGTATACAGACAGTCCCTGACTTACAACCTGTGTGAAAAAAACTGAAGCTATTTTTTTTAAAATAAAAAGCAAATGTATGCAAAAGAAAATTTCAGTCGGCTGTAAGCCAAACCGCTACGCTAACCGTACAATAGCTGCTGTGAGAAACTACTGTATGAATGGCAGGATCACCGTCCCAGGGTCTCCCACCCCGATACCCACACCTAAATGTCAGTGCGATTATCCTCCCATTCTGACGTAGGGCCATTTTGACGTACGACCTGTTTGCTGGAACAGACCCCAGTCTTAAGCTGGGGACAGTCTGTACTAAATTACACCCTAAATTTCTGGAGAATGTTCGGTTCCAGCAAAAACCCAAACATGAGGGCCGAGGGAAGCTCTGGCTTACATTTCAATACGAAGAGGATGTTCTGGGGCAGGGTGTCCTTATTTTTCTTCAGCGATCCGGTGAGGTCATAGGTCACCTGTCAACCAGATAAAGCATAAACAAGTCACACCCCTCGCACCTGTCGGGTAGTTGTCCGTTTGGTCTGCGAGCACGGTGGGGCAGGCGTACGACCCTCAACAGAGAGCCAGAGACACAATGGAGCCTCTACAGCCATTCTCAGAATTCCCCAAAACAGCTGCCGTCTGTTTCGCTTTACAGTCTGTTACGATTAAGGGGCAGCAGACAAACCACAGGTCAGCGGCCATCCTCAGTCGGGGTCGACGGTCTTGGCGGCCCAAACAAGGCACACGGCCGTCCCAGAACACCATGCTTCCCATAAAGCGTACAGGAGACAAAACACATGGCAGGTAGACACACACTGTCTATGGAAGGCATCAGGCAGAAAGAGATAAGGCTGGAGAATGCCAGGGTTACCTCGCTGGGGGGGGGGTGTTGGGGTGATCATGAAGAGGATCTGAATGGTTAACATGGCTCTTCTCCTCCCTGATCAAATCAGACTCTGTCTAAATTTCATTTTAAGGATGATATAAATGGGTTGGGGGGTTGGGGGTGGGCGAGCGTGTGTGGGGGGTCCTCTCATCAGGACCATGCAGGGATTTTTTGGGGGCAAGTGTTCAACTGGGGGGGGGGGTCCTCTTTGGTAAAAACTGCATGATCGTTGGTGGCAAGAGCCCCCCCCCCATGTCCCTGCCTTTAATAAATAAAATCATTTCTTTTCCATTTGCACATGCACATGTACATTGTATTGTTCTCTTCGCCTGCCCCATCATCTCCATAGCTTGGGGGTCATAGCGCAGGGTCAGCAAACGTGCGGCACCCCTGGAGCTGGGGGTTAATGACCTGCTCAAGGGCCCACAGACATGTGACTGTTCTGCCAAGGCTTGATCACCCGAGCAGCCAATCAGTAGGTGTGCAAATCAGTGAAGAAATCCAGGCTTCAGCTGGCACCTTTTGTTCCGGAAGAGTCTGCTCTGTCCGCCTTCCCTGGGCACACTTCTTCATGATATCAGCTCCTCCATGCTTAGACCTTCTCCATGTCTCACAGCTTCTCTATGTTTAGACCTTCTCCATTTCTTACAGCTCCTTCATGCTTAGACCTTCTCCATTTCTTACAGCTCCTCCATGCTTAGACCTTCTCCACGTCTCACAGCTCCTCTATGTTTAGACCTTCTCCATGTCTCACAGCTCCTCTATATTTAGACCTTCCCCACGTCTTACAGCTCCTTCATGCTTAGACCTTCTCCACGTCTCACAGCTCCTCTATGTTTAGACCTTCCCCACGTCTTACAGCTCCTCCATGCTTAGACCTTCTCCATGTCTCACAGCTCCTCCATGCTTAGACCTTCTCCACGTCTTACAGCTCCTCACCTTGCCTGCATAGTGGCCGACCGTGAAGGATGGCCCCTGGTCCTTGGGCGGCGGGTTGCCATTTCCATCCTTGGCACAGTAGAAGATGCCATTGGCATTTGCTGTGAGCAGCTGGCTCTGTAGCGTCTTGTAGAGGTTCTGCTCAGATGGATGCAGCGCCTGGTTCTCCTCGTCAAGAACTGCAAGCAGGCCCTGAGGCTTCTGGGAAAGGAGACGTGTGACATATTTGTTGCTGGAACCACAGAAAAACACTATATGCTTTTAAATATCTTTTTACATTCGTTATTATTATTTAGGCGATTACAGCTGGGCACCTGGAAGAAGAAATCCAGAACACCAGAGTTGTTGCCTGGGCAGGATAATGTTTCCATGGCGACGCCCTCCTGTAGACATTCTGCCTGCTCTTGATGGAACAGCAAGTCCATGACGTACCGGTGGATCTTCTCATTGGTCATGTTGATGCAGAGCTGCAGAAATACACATATGCATACCAAGGAATCAGGAAGAACATTTGACTTTTCTCCTAGGACTGTTAAGGTGAGATTCAGGGTGCAAAAGCATAGCTGATCCTCTGCACTAAAACCTTTAGAATAGATCAAGTCATAAAATACAGCCTCCAAACTGCCACTCTGAAGTATAAACACACAAACGACTGATTAAAATAACCTGTTAAGTATAAAAGATAAAAGTGAATTTCGATAAAATATAAATCCTGTGCAATTAGGCTTTGGTAACATAGATCTATGTGTCCCTGGCTGCCTGGTGGATTGCAACCCCAGGGTCACGATTACCCAGAATGCTCTGCAACCCCAGGGTCACGATTACCCAGAATGCTCTGCAACCCCACGGTCACGATTACCCAGAATGCTCTGCATCAGCGGGAGCAGCCGAGGAGCCTCTATTAGTGGCTGTAGTTGGGATGTGACCCTGCATTACCGCCATGGGACATCAATAACATTATTTCAGCACCTCCCCCCAATTGCGTTACCCTCCAGGGCTGTGGGGGAGACACAGACAGCGAGTGTGTGTGGGAGGGGGGCAGTAATTGCTCTTTAATTAAGAACATAGTGTCAGGGACTGGAAGGGAAACACGGCCCTCCTCCCTTATTTGTTTAAAAAACTCATTTTGAAAAACAGCACGTCCGCGACATTAACCACCCCCCCCCCCCCCGTGAGGTTGAGCACACATAGCTGGGGAGTCACCATAACTCATGCCTGGCACAACTGCCATTTATTTAAAAATTCTCCATGCGGATTACAAATTCTTAAAAATATCTGGAAAATAAATCCGAATGGGACACGACTTTACTCACAATAAAAGATGCTTGTTTTTCTCCTGTGGTGACTGTAGCTGAGACTCATAAACGAATGAGATGAATCTTTAGGGGGGTGTAAACACAGTATGTCGCATGATCTGGCTCTCTTGGAGACAGACACCGATCCACTCGAGCTTCTTCAGCTATTAGGGCCGCCAGCGTAAGATGAAGGCTCACCCAGCAGTTTTCAGTGATGACTTTTAAATTGCTTCGTTCGTGCCCTTACGATCTCACCTCGTGTTTTAATGAGATTGCTGATGTGATTAGCGTGCTGTAATTCACGACGGGCTAATCTGAAATTGACAATAATGTTATAGAATGCATAAGGAGGCTCATTTTCCTTGTTTGGGTCAATTACCCACAAGGAGACTCGCTGATTGACTCTTGGATGTTCCTAATAGTCATGGGTGGAAACTGGAACCTGCCATCATATTCTGCTCTTGGGTGAGAGCAGGGCAGCAAAGCCTTGAGGCAAAGTACATAATAACCATAATCCTGAAGAAGAGAGTAGGCCTGCAATCCTAAGAAGAAGAACAGACCTGCAATACTTAGAGTAAGACCAGACCCGCTGCCCTCACAGGGAGAGCAGACCCACAATCCTCAGGGGGGAGCAGACCCACGATTCTCAGGGGAGAGCAGACCCACGATTCTCAGGGGGGAGCAGACCCACAATCCTCAGTGGGGAGCAGACCCACGATTCTCAGGGGGGAGCAGACCCACGATCCTCAGGGGGGAGCAGACCCACGATCCTCAGGGGGGAGCAGACCCACAATCCTCAGGGGGGAGCAGAGCCACAATCCTCAGGGGGGGGGCAGCCTTGCCCAGCTGTGGTGTTTCACAATATGCGTAGTTGACCGTACTTGTGTTCTCAAGTTCCCGTGTTACGTCATCTTCCATTGCCAAAATCAGTTCCAATACTAAGAACAGAAGTACAAACGATGGTAAAAATGTCATTCTTGCTCTGCCTCAAATAACAGGGATACATCGGTTGCATCCTCGCCAAACGAGACCAGTCCCATGATTCATTGTGCCCCAAATTCGTTCTTGGGAGGAAAGTTAGCAATAGCGGTCATACCAAGACCATAATTACGATCTTCGCGTTCTTGATATTGAGAAACACCCATTGTGTCATGTCACTTTCTATCCACTTCACACACACCATCGGAAGATACAACCACTGCTACATTTCAGTAAATTTCCAGCTTTATGCGCTGATGTTGTACTGATGAAGCCATCGTAAGTTGAAAATATCCAAAGTCAAATATGAATACGATAAATGATATGATATGATAAATCACAGAAAAAAAACAGCGTCCGCTACGTTACTAAACACTGTTTCTGTGAGATATTTACTACCGTGATCGTCATTGACACCGGAGGCATTTCTGAGTGGAAGCTGCGATCTCCCGGAATCACAACGAAGAACCGTACGGCATATCACAAGTGCGGGAGCAGATCGAAATTCAAAGTTGAGTACTGAACATGCACCACTATCGCACCATTGTGAAGTCGAAATACTGTAAGTCAGACCATCGTAAAGCGAGGAGCGTCTGCATTTTTACTGGTTAAATCGCTCTCACTGTGCAACCGCCGTTAAAAGGCCCACAGCCATGACTGAACTCTACCACTACAGACGGGAGGTGTCAGGGTTCACGTGATATTCTCACTCTGGAGCGTGGTCAGACCCCCAGCGAGACTAGGGGGGGTTAGTGCTGGAGGATTGGCACGGCCCCCACATTTACAAAAGCCAGAGCGCAAAGACTCCCCTCCTGATGTTGGGAATAACGGGAAAAATAGATGGAACAGATAAAGGAACAGTGAAGCGGAACCTTCCAGGGAACATCTGCAGGGTTCTGCCCTGTCTCAGAGTTCTCCCCGCATCACTTATCCAGTCATTTTTGTGCGTTTTGGGGCCAGTCAGGAGTAGCAGTAGAGAAGGGTGTCAGTAGGGCCCTTTTACGTGATGAAAAGATGGCTTCCTATCAGAAACACCTGCCCAGCCTCCCCATGCAAGCCTTGCACTCCTCCTCCACTGTGAGCTTCTGGTAATTTGGCTCTTTTCTCTACTGTTCTGCTGAGGGAGGGGGGGGGGGCTGGTTATGGGATGACTAACAATGAAGCCATTCAGAGGCAAAGGCAGTTTGGCTTAAGGACTTTCCATTGTGTCTTGCCTGCAAGTCNCCGCACGCCACTTACAGTCTCTCAAGGTCGGGATTTGTTTGGAAACCCGGGACCTGACATCAGCTTAATTCCAGTTCATCAATAAGCACGACGCTGGATGGCAGGTTAGTGCAAAGTAAACATGCTGACAGGTGCACTTTTCAGCCCCTGTGGTGAACGTTGGGGATTAGCGCTAAGCACACTGAGAACAGCCTGCAATTAAGCTGCCGGAACTTCTTGAGTGTCTGCTGAATATGGAGGAGCGGGTGGATCCGGGCACCTAGAGAATGGGCTTTTCCACTGCACCCTGGTGGAATTACTAACAAACGCTGAGTTGGAGACAAAGGGAGTCCCGCTCCGAATCTCCCACTGCGGAATACCCTGTCCACACAAACCGCGTTTCCATAAACGGTTGGTTACGAAGGTGACAGAAGGGTAAAGATCATTGGTAAATGTGGCGCCCCCTGTGGTGGGTGATGGGAGTGCCCACCTGAGGATGAAGCACTGCCGCTGATTCTCTTGCAGCATCATGTGATAGGCCCTCTCGGCCGAGGAGAAGATGTGGGGGGGCAGCGACGAGCAGAGGCGGCCGCTGGAACTCAGGTACAGTTGGCTTACCTGGATCACGGGGGGGGGCGGGTAAAGGGAAAAGAGAGAGAGAGAGAGAGAGAGATGAGAAAGCTTGTTATATGAGGTTATTGTAGTAAAAGTACAAGATGAGAGGCTTCTCTGCAGCTGGATCATTGACCTGCGGGGGCAGCGCTGAGCTGGGAAAAAGCTGGAAGGGACTCACACTAGTGGAATTTGGGTCTCGCACAGGCTGAGGGAAGCGCTTACTATACCTCCACTGTAAACCACCTTTACCCAGCCTTGGGTGGAGAACCCAAGGGCAGCCGGCAGTGTGACCAAACCCGACAGCAGGGGGCAGCGGGCCTCACTAGCAGATACTACATCCTCCTCAGATACTGACAGTGAAGCCCCCCCCCCCTCCCCACTTTGTGTCTGCTTAATGGATATGATTTACTGTATACTTCACAAGCAGGACCTGAATTATTCATCAGCATATCCAGTCTGAGCATTTACAGTAACTTCCTGTGCCTTTCAGTACCTCAGAGGGTGTTTTTTGCTTCGAAAAACAGGTATATCTTTGTAGACATCACACTCACCAATGGGGAGTAGATGGGGAGATCCTTGTTGGGGTTAATAAGCAGAAGAATGTATCCAATATACGTCTGGAAGAGGAAAAGCACAAAGCAGCCAAAGTCAAAAGGGGGGAGTCATTCGGTGATGTTAGAGTCCATCCCATAAACAGGAAAGAGAGCTTATTCTGACCCTGTTGGCCAAACCCCTCAAAGGTGGACCAATCAATGGCGCCCCCTAGTGGTCATACGTGGGCACGCTGCCTCACTAAAAAGGTTCTACTAAAATGGTGCCGCTGAATCGGGGCACAGGTCAGACAGCATGTGTGTTTCCGGTACACACACACAGGTCCAAAAAGCACAGAGGGGTGTGACAGCAGTGACATGCCTGTCCACACGGCCGCTCGGCCCCCCAGGAGTGCTGCAGCATTATGGGAAATGGCCCACAGCATTATTAGGCTGCATTCTGGGCCCCAACGTGAATAAGCTTTGATGAGATTTTCAATGGACAAACTGCATCTAAGAACTCAGCTGTTATTCTCACACAGAGCACATTACATATCGATGACAGGGCAAACAATAAGAGCCCCACAGTCTCCGTTTCGGTAAAATCACACTGGGGGGAGTCAAGATGGACAGCCAGGGTCTGACTCCCATTGATTATTACATGCATTCACAGTCACACACACCGTTTGGGGGCGGGGGGGGGACATCACATTTAGAGAGAATGGTGTAACTGGTGGCTGGTCACCAACAGCATAGGAGAGATAGTTTCATGTTAGGGGGAGACACAACTGAATAACTTAAAGGTCTATTTTTTTGAGGGGGGGGGGGGGGGGGGGCTGGTTATGGGATGACTAACAATGAAGCCATTCAGAGGCAAAGGCAGTTTGGCTTAAGGACTTTCCATTGTGTCTTGCCTGCAAGTCAACTGAGGTAACGGTAACCCAGCCCAGAATCCACACGTGGAGGCTTCACGGAAATACCTTGATAAACAACACCTGGGAAATTCTGTATCATAGCAACAACTACTAGATCCACACTTAGGCCCAACTACAGCAGAACTAACAAAATGCCCCATTCAGCAGTAGCAGGAGCTGTGTACTTCATCCCACAGATGTCAGAACATGGAGGGCTCCTAGTGTTCCTTTAGAGTTCTCTTGATGGAATTTTGTGAGCTTGCAGAGCTCAGCTGTGGAAGAAATCAGTGCCCCAGTCATTGTCGTCCCTGCGCTGAGGCTAACCACAAAGATAATGTCTTCATTCCCAGCTGGATATAAACGGCCGTTAAAGCCACATCAAGCTTCCCTCGAAGGCAGGGCAACTCCTCTTAAAACACAATTACATGCTTTGTCGCAAAAGGCTATGGGTTGACGTCTTCTTAGAAACACAAATGCACGCTTTGCTCTGAAGGGTGACGGTTAAACATCTTCAACAGTTATGGGGCGCATGTGTTTATGTGGTGGTGAGGTGTAATTAAAATAGACAGCTCTTTTAAAAAAATCGTAACAGGACACAGTGCTGGATTTCTGAAAACCAGTGACCTCTATTTAAAAGCTGTTTCTGGATGATGTGGTGACCCTTCCAGGAATGACTGAATGATCTGTAATGAATGATTCTCCAATCCTGACATCACTATGATATTGTGGCTGCCGGTTCGAACACAGTGCGACTGAATTCTGGTCACCTAAATGGTACCATGATCCTTTGAAGACCTGCAGAAGAAAAACCAGGCCTATATTTAGCTGGACAAGGGACCTTTCCGAAGGAGAAGCAGACGTGAATGCTTGTGGGCCAGATGGTAATGTCTTCTGATAGCAGCAGTCCATAACTGGAAGTCTTCTCAGAAGATGCTGGACTGACTGTAACCAACATTGCTAGCAATTTCCGGCCATATTGTGCAAACACCAGCCAGATATGGCACAAGGAATAGAGGTAAGGCTCAATGTTGGCTTGCATCATGCGAACCTCCTGAACCATGGAAATCTAGTTCCCAGAGACGCACACAGCTTTCCGGAAGCACCATAGATAATAAAACTTGAAGGAAGCTTTGCTGTACCTGCTCAAAGCTGTTTTCACGCGATTCCTCGAATCCGAAGATGTCCAGAACTCCAATCTCCAATGCTGCATGCCTTCGGAAGAAAGACGGGGAGCAGAGTTTATGATATGAGTCCTTAAGATGCTCTACAATATTTAATATATCAATAATTTATATAAATATGCATATTTATATTATTTGATCCTTTATGACCCCTGAGGGATAACTTAAATCGTAGTGCATCATTTAAATCAATGTCAGTTATCAAATCCTCTGCGTTTTCAGTAAAGCTTGTTGCACTGTTAAGCAAACCAGACTTTTGTCTAATACCTTCATTTACAAAATACAGTCACACCATTCAGCTCAGTCAGGGTTGGGGGGGGGATTCAGTCATGGTACTGATCAGCCTAAAATTACACACGAAAAAATTCTCTGAAATAAAATATGAGACGCAAGTTATTTTTTTCCTCTGTATGTTTTCATGGTGTTTTTTTGTGCTGCAGTTCAGTTACCAGAACTTCAAAAAAAATAAAAATCTGGCAACTCCATCACAGGAATAGACAGTAAGCTGAGGTCCCAGGCTTCCTCTTTTGCAGCCGAAGCGACTGTTTAATAATTCAGCTCTTAAAGAGAGTTGTTCTCTTCATATCCACCTCGCGGTCAGCTATAGGTGTCTGGAGATTGCCTGTGCAATATTCATGTCACCCTCCACTGAGCTCAGTTAGTTCACACCTCCGTAATCCAGGAGAATATTAACTGTTCTTTGTGCTGAGATAATATGACTCGGGGCACCGTTCGCTAAATTTGTTAATATATTAGAAAGTTCCAGAAGATTGCCAGGGGCTTTAGATGCATGAATGCACGCTAGCTGGCCAGCCATTTGGAAGTGGGCTGTAATGCAATAAACAGAACCATGTGTCCGTTTGCGTGTGCACGTGCGTCACGTTCCTCCTGGGTTCCGTGTTTTTCACAAGCTCTGACTGACTGGCTCTCTTTGTTGATATGGTCACGTCTGCTGAACAGTCCACCGAGGGGCATGTGACCACAACAGTGGGGCCTGTGTACTGATATCACCACGCGCGCCCACACCGATTCCGTCTGTCCCAGGTACATGGGTCACCGAGGACCAGGCAGGTTCTGGAAGTGCACCGTGGAGACGGTGGAGTGTGTCGTATGGTGGAATGTTCCAGAGCACGTTCTGCGCAAGTCGGCCCACCAGTCATGATGTCACGGTGCAGGCCGGCTCAGCGAGACACTCAGCCAGAATATGACTGGTAGCTCAAGCTTGCTGAAGTCACATCCATTCTGTCTCTCGCTAATTCAGGCACGGGAGCTATTCAGAAACTCCAAAATAAACAATGTGCTATGACTAATTGTGAGGTGTGACATCATTTAGCAACATTACTGTGCTATGCTGGCATCAGCTGTGGTTTATTGGAAAATGTATGACTTGCCTAAATGACACAGGTTAATAAATTACATCAACACATTTTCAAAGTGCTACAGTCAGTTCCTGACTTTCATTGCTGAGGATGGTACAGGTGACCTAGGGGGAATATAAAACATTGCCTACCCCCCACTCCCGCCCCACCCCGTCATTGAACTCACCCGGAGCTTTCCTCCTGGCCATTCAGGTAGCAGTTGATATTGTTGACCAGGTAGCCAAAGAGACGGCTATATAGGGACTTGGCGAGGAGATCTCTGTTGTGATTGGACATCTCCACTGTGCGTTGCCGTGTGATGACATCACCTGATGGAAATGGTTAGCGTGAGGGAGCAGTCAAACCATGCACATGCTCCTGGTCAGCCTGATAAACGGACGGTCAAAACCCAGATCATACTCGTAAAACGTGAATAGTTTTCATAGCAGAAGCAGAAAGTGTTCTCACGCATAAAATGCATTTCTTACATCAGACACTGTTCAGGTCCGATTGATCAAAGTCCTCCATGGTTCTGTGTCCAGGACTCAAACTGAGGTTCATGGGGAGAGGTTGGGGGGCTCACCTTTGAAAAATTGCACGTCTGATGTAAGGGCGGAGCCTAAATCCTCAGGACAGACCTGCAGCATACTTGACACTGCAGAAAACAGACACTGAAATCAGCTGACACCCAGACATGAGCAGAATTCTCCTTTACTACTTTGTTTGTCATCTAGTAAATGGGCACTAAAACAGCAGAGCTCGGTGGAAGAAATTACAGTCACTTCGTTCCAGTGACATCATCACTGATTGCATCACGTAACCCTGACAACGCCCTCCCTCTCTGAGCTGGGCGGCCGCGCGTGACGTCGCTTGTTTACAGGCCGGCTGGAAAATGCCTGCGTCGTTACATAACAGGACAAATTCATATTCCGCCTCTGCCAACTCGGAGAGCAGCGGCGTGAGAGCTTAGCCAAGCCACTCAAAAAAAAAACACGAGGGAGAGAGTGAAACAAAAATGCGGATTGTGGCCGATCACGTGTCTGCCCGCCGTGCCGATCGTGCAGAATGGAGAGATGATGGAGCCAGAGACACAATGTAAATAACATGTGACATGCTTCTCCCTGCCATTGTGGCGAGAGGCATCACAGCGCCCCCCCCCCCCCCCCGACCTGTTTCCAGCAGCTGCAAATCAGCCACGATCGACGCCTCGCTGTCCATCAGCGCAGTGAAGCACAGGTCTCCCAGGTGAAGGATGGCACCCAGGATCACAAACAAGTTCTCCACTTCCTGGACAGGGAAGGACAGGCCATGCAGAGGATCAGGGGCCATCGTCACACCGGCAGCTGTGTGAGTCTGCCCCCTGTTGGTCACGGCAGCGAACAACAACAACATAAGTACATACTGATGCCAAAAGCAGGCCTAACACACTGAAACAAAAACGATATAAAAGGCCTCTTAAATGTATTTTTTAGGCATGCTTAGAAATCATGGACAGATGCTGCAGGCTTTACGATGGTTTGATGGGTGGCTTCTACACAGTCACACTTACGGTTTCAGTCGTGAGTGTAAACATCTCAGGCAGTGTTTAGCAATGTATCATACAACAATTTTCTGTGTGATTTATCATATTTATATATCACATCATTTATCATTTATTTTCAACTTACAATTGGTTCATTGGAATGTAACTTAGGTTGAGGAGCATCTGTACTGCATGAAAGCGAGTAAACGGTAAGTCTAACAGCGTGTATTTGTGATTTGATGCTGATTTGTACCACTGGGAGGTTTACAAAGGCCTCTGGCAGCCTATGTGTAGCCTATGAGGAACTAGGGGAACGAGGCCAGCCCACACCATCTCCGGACACGCAGGAGTGCGTCTTTGGGCCTGAGCGTGTGCTAGCTGGGTGTGTGTTTACAGCAGCGGCGTAATAGTTGCGCTCTCCTCCATACCACGCCGTGGAAGCCCAGCGCCCTCAGGGCCTGCTTCAGGACGCTCAGCCTTTCCCTGCCCTGTACGCTGGCTGGAACCGCCGGCCTCTCCACCGAGCCTCCCTGTCTCAGGTACCTGCAGAAGGACACATGGGGTCTCACGTCTGTTTGTCAACAACTGCATTACACCACCTGACATCTGACTCTGCAGCCTGAGGCTACCACTTTCACTCTGAAGAAATAAGGGACACACGTAAGGGTTCGAGGAGTTTTTCAAGACTGGACAATCCTGGAATATATGGGATGATCCTGTAACGAACAGAATGATCCTTTAACATATGGGACAAATGACAACCCTACTGTAGCCCCAATTCTTACGGTGGTCAATCTCAGCAACCAGGGCAGCTGAAAACAAAATTTCTGGGGTGTGGTTTGGGGCCAGAGCCGCTGTTTGTCCGGAGCCGTGTTTGATGTGTCAATAACACAAACAGGGTGTGTTTCGGCCCGTGAGCGACAGTAAACCCTGACCTCTCACTCTGAAAAGTCTAACAAAAATTGATTTGGGTCATTTCTGTTTCCTCAGTTTGATTCAGTGACCAGAGACTCAGACTTTGAGTCCCATCAATGAGGGCCCAAGGAGGCCTCACACTCGGGGACTTAAATGGAAAGCCGAACATTAGGCTTCCAGTGATCTTCTCCCCACAGAAGGACGAGATGAACTCCTGACCAGGCTTTGCCAAGACACGACTGAGGCGAAGTCGACCTGAAAGCAGATGAAAAGGCTACCGCAGGATTTCAAGTCACACTCCAGAGTGGAGGGGAAACATGATAACTCTCGAAAAAAGAAGCCGTTCTGTCTGCCACAGAAACAAAACGCAGGCTGTGTGTGGATGTTCCCGGGCTGCACATCCCCTGCCAACTCGAGTCAGTGTCCAGCTGAGGGAAGCGTGTCTCTGAAGACAGGCAGACATGGGAGACCTGCTCCTGCCAGCTACCCACCTGTGTGTCAGGATGTTGCTCAGATGTAAGGTGCTCTTCTCTTCTGCTGACATGCCTTCAGCCATTAAGTAGAAGATGCAGAAGTTCTGCTGTTGAGGCTCCGAGGAGACAAGGCGCGACTTCTCCAGGGCGTATGTGTAAACTTGAGCTTAACATACATACACGCACACAAAACTGATTAAATACATACACATAACAGTATGTAAAACCTCTGTTTAGAACCATAACACGATTCAACATTGTCTCGCTTTTTTGAGGGCTATCTTGCTTTTTTATTAAGCCACAATAACGTTACACTTAAGTCTACTGCAGTCAGACTATAACCCATATTCGATTTAGTCTATTGTAATTCAAAATCGACAGCGAAGTGTTTTAACGCGGTTTATCTTAGTGTGGTTCTGGCACCATCTAGTGGTAATGCTAAGAATATGACGACGAATTGGGTTATATGTATTTTATCTTGTTGGTGGAAGTTTTAATAATTTCTAAATATTCTTTTAATTCTCAAAATATTATTAAAATGTTTAAACATTACATTTCGATTAAGAAATTACCTCTAATTAAACTCTTCTTCTTCTCACAGTATTGCAAGGAAAGAAACTTCATAAATCGACTTGAGTTGCTATTCATTCGCGTTTTTGCATGACCGAAAGCTTCCAGGATGCAGTTCACCTGAAACGAAAATGAGTCATAAAAATACTGGCACCATGTTTTGTTTCACTACATTAAGGACAATGAGGATCGCTCTATTGCAGTGACAGCGTTTGACCACCAGAGGGCAGTAATATACAGAAAACGCATGACGCATCACCATGTGCTTCCCGGTCTAAGTCACCGCGTGTTCCCACAAATGAGCATTTAAGCCACTGTGATTGTATGTATTTGTGTATCAGGAGGCAGAGCTTCAGGGCTGGGTCACCTACAGGGGCCCAGCCTTCACCACAGCAACGCCCAGACTTACATGCTTCATCCTGGGCTCCAGGGAAAAGCCTTTGGGGCCAGAGCGAACCGCCAGGTGCCTCACAATGTGCTTGCAGGCCTCGGTCTTCCCTGAGCCGCTCTCCCCACTGTGGACAGATGGATTGGCTGACAGTAAGGGATCTCTGATGTCGTACAAGCAACCCCCCCCCCACCACCAGTAACGTTTTCCTTAGAAGATTCCTGCTTCTTGCACCGAGTTGCCTGAAGCGTAAAAAGGACCTGAGCATGTGAGTCCCTGAAGAGTCACACCAGTGGCCGCGATTGACTGTGACAAATGGACCAGAGGAGCAATAAATGAGCCTCCACACAGAACCCGGCCGGTGCCGCGAGACCCTGGGCAGCCGCCGCCCACTGAAGCGAGGAGGATGGGGGGGGGGGGGGGGGGCGCGTCTCAGCCAGCGCTGGGGGGTCATTTGTTC